TCCTGCGTGCTGCAGGTAAAGAATCCGCCAGGCAGGACCTCGAGCAGACCGTCGAGGGCCTCCTCAGTGCGGCTCCGCGCACGAACGTCAACTGGTCACGTCAGGGAGGTGGGTGGGACTTCAATCTGACAGCCGGCTCGAGAAAGCTCTCAAATGCAAAAAAATTAGTTTGCGTGCCAGCCGATGTGGCCTCGCGTGCCAAGCCGGGCACGCGTGCCGGGGGTTGCCGACCCCTGCTCTAGACTATTAGACCTAGAGTTTTTTCTTACTATCATCAGCACAGGCATTGTGCAACACATGTGTTGTGTATGACACAAAATTGTTTATCACTTTGTGACAATTTCACACATTTTAGGAATACTATGTGGGTTTGTGAAGTGTAGTGCCATTGTCTTTTTTGCAACTAGCATTCTATGTCATAAATAGAAACCACTATATTTCTCTCCTTTAAAGAACTCCGGGTTGGATATAGCTTAACTGCTTGTTTATGTCTAGGAGTGATGATAAAGACAACTAGCCTGATCCTCTGTCCTGCATGGCTGCTTGACTGGTCCTCGCAGCCTCTTCTCCCCCAGTCTAAGGACCCGTGATGTCATCACATCTAATACAGGTGTATTAGATGTGGGAATGCTGAGAGACGCACTACATCTGAGTGGTCCCTGACGCAGGACCGAGGAACGGGTGAGTATATCACTGCCCCACTGCAAGGGTTCCTTTTTCTAGAACCTGGAGCTCTTCTGTAAAGCTAACCAGTCATAATAAGAGGAAGAGTCTGCAGGAGTAAGAGCATTGCATCAGCTGATCATAGTTGCAATGCTTTGCAGGCTCCAATGCAAAAAAAAAGAATGCAAATTTTTTGCTTGTATTAGTGTATTTATTAGGGTTTGTGAAAGGGTGAAATACGCATTTAACTAGGCTGCACTTGTCAAACAACTTTGTTTGAAACAAAGCGTGTCAGTGATTGCTCACAAATATCTAATAGGTAAGCTATTGGAAGATATAGACATACGGAGCATGAGTGAGAAACAAACATTAAAATCAGAAATTCAGCAGAAAGGTTTATGTTAAATCTCTTTATTATATGAATCAATTTGTTGCCCATTGGCCCCAATCATGATTGCCATCTAAATTCACAGTTTTACACTAATTTGGCAGTTAACAGCATAGAAATTCTGGTCTGGTTGTGTCAATGACAGTGTGTGTGTAATAACGACTACTGTTTAATAAAAAAACAAAAATCCCCTTTTTTCAGATAAACATGTAAACAGTTCTAATTGTGAATTCACAATGTACCTAGAAGTGGAAACATGAACAAGCTGTAGCAATTTAGATTTCTCATTGTCTTTATTTTCTTGCCACATAAGCAGACTCTCAAATCTGCCAACTTCACAACCAGCCCATCTTGCAACCAGAGGCGCCGGTATTGGTTTTTTCGTTGACTCTCAAATCAGTTGCAAGTTACCCCACCACCAACCATGTAAGCCAATCACGCCGCCATCAGAGAAGGAAACACATGGTAATCACTAGGGATGCACCAATACCGGTATATCAGTATTGAGTACGAGTACCGATATTTTCTTTTTTCTGTACTCTCCGATACCGAAATCGGAAGTCCCATTCAGGAAGCCAGGCGGTGTGTAATGACTCGCCACCTGGCTTCCTGATTAGCCGGGAAGCATGTAAAAACTCGCCACCCGGATTCCTGATTAGCAGGGAAGCCGTCCCCATGCATCTCTTCACTAGGTGACGAGAAAGCATGGAGCCGGCTTTCTGGCCAATCAGGAAGCCAGATGCTGTGTAATGATGCGGCGCCCGGCTTCCTGATTGGCCGAGAAGCCGACTACATGCTCCTTCGTCATGAGTAGTCGGGCAGCGTGTAATGACGCGCTGCCTGACTTCCTCATACCGGATGTATCGGGCTAGGCGTCGGAGCATTTGGGCGAGTACGAGTACTCGCCGAAATATTCGGCATTGATATTAGTATCGGTATATCCCTAGTAATCGCTAAAGAAACTGTGGGACAACCTGACCCGGAGATAAAGTGCACCTGTGATCAGACAGTAAAAGATTTAAAACACGATTTAAAAACACATCACTGACCTCTCTGGCTGCTTTTAATGTGAATCACTGAAGTTTCGACGCGTTTCCGGGGCACGCCCCCTTCGTCAGGACGTCCTGACGAAGGGGGCATGCCCCGGAAACGCGTCGACACTTTAGTGATTCACACACAGGACACACTGCACGGATTATTTTACTGCTCCGGTTTTATTGTTCTGAAGCTCGTTTTTACTTCAGTCTTGCGAGTACCTGTCAGTTCACTTTTGATGCCCGTTTATTGGAATAAACAATACTGCACTAGGAAAGGCGCCCCTCTGATCTGATTTCCATAGAAAAAACACATTGCAGGGAATCTATCATAACAATTGCGAATGTTTGAACTTGCACGGACTATATTTGACGCACGTTGCATCAGATTCATGCTGCTAGTGTAATGTTGTCCATAAATGAGCTTAAATAGGACTTGAGGAAAGAAGACTCGCAACTCCAGGCAAAAAGATGAACTGTCCCTTCTTGAAGAAGTGGTCATGGGGACTTCTTAAGTTGCAATTGTTTTGTTAGGTGATGCTCCAGTTTCAGACAGCCGCACAACAAGTGCAGATGAAAACAGGAGCAAAACATGTGCAATTGGAGACGTAGTGCAAGTTCGGGTCAAAACAGGCGCACATGTTAAAAGACAGATTTGCACATAACAAAAAAAAAAAGACAACAAACGATCCAAGAGGCTAAAACTGTCGCAAATGTTTTGCTAAATTCCTCCCAATGCCTGTGTCGAGAGCTTTGAAAATGAATTTATTCACAATGCTTATAGATACAGAGATGAATAAGGCACTTTTTTTTTTTAAAGTGCTATTACTGCTTGATCAGAACATGTAAATCTTTTAGTGTGCATGATCTGGGCACAGGTTCACATTTTAGGCAATGCTTAGTTGAAGCAAGAACCATTCCCAGCTGGGATGAACTTCCCCATTTTGAATAATTCACAATATCTTTTTTCACCGCAACATTTGGCCTTTTAGTTCTGATTTTAATATAGATTCATACAAATTTAAATACAATCCCAACTGATTTTTGTAGCAAACACGAGGTAATCTCTGCTTGCCGGATTCATTTTCAGTTATAAAAATACCTAATTGCCCGGTAAAACAATCTCCCCATAAAACATTATGCCGACGAAAACCATCCAAAGTGACTCATCTACAGTTTGCACATATCACACCATTGACTTCGGCTTCCAAAACCGTTATCGGCAACCCTCTCATCAAGAAAAAGGGCCCTGGTAGTTTATACCTTTTTTTTTTTAACCGTACACTATGTAAAAGTGCCAGAAACAAGATTAACAAATATGCGTGTAAAGATATGAAGGATTATGTAAACCTTTCAAAACAGTATACATTTCTTGAAAGCAGAGTCTCTATAAAATAAAATGGTGGCAGTTACACAATATATGTCTACTGTTTATCAAATCTATATTTTCAGTAGAAAATACACTGAAACAAATATTCCTGCACACAGACGCAATATATGTACTGCTTCCAGCAGTTAAATTGGCAATGTAATTGAATTTGCATATTCTTCCCAAGCCTTCCTTTAAGTTAATGGTTTATTGGTATGCTCTCCCACCGTGTGTTTGATGCAATTTCCTCTTGCCTTAGTATGAGTTCCTACTTTCTTTCTAGCAAGACACACTAGGGTTAGAAAATAACTATTCCTTTCCGGCCAGTACAAATACCAATATCTACTACATTGCATTGATACCTGAACCTTTTGCAAGCAATAGAGATATATACGTCAATACAAAGTATTTGGGGAATTTAACTATCTGATGAAGACTCCCTGTGGTAAATGTCTCGGTTCCATTCAGGCCAGGCATATCGGTCTGAGGAAGGGATAACTCAGTATTACAACAACAAGTCAGAATAATAGAATTTTGTCTATAATATAATGGATGAGGTTGTACCAAGTGAATAGATACCAAATATGTCAACCCTTAAAATCGCATGTGCCTGTGAAATGGCGAAAAACGATGGCACCCAAAATTGTCCAGGTCATCAATTTAAAGTGAACAATGACCGATGGCTCTAGAATTATGGCTGACACTCCGGTGTGCGTGGCAATACCAAATATGTGGTGTGCAACAGATGTTTCTGTATGGGTCAGCACCTGGCACACGTGTTATTATTATACAGGATTTATATAGCGCCAACAGTTTGCGCAGTTTGTTTACATTTATATATGCACATATGTGGGGACTTTTTAAAAAATTTGGAGTGTTTTTATTTAATTGATTAAACTTATCTTTTTTCTTTTTCGTAATCCGGTCATAACAGCAAAAAAGGCAGTCATTCCTGGCCTCCTTCTGAAAATACTAGTTGCTTGGCTGCTATGCTGACTCTCTGCTTTTGACTTTCCGAGTATGCAGCACAGGACTTTTGATCTATCTATAAATGTACTTATCTGTATGCTTCTTACGGGTCAGTGAATAAAAGTATAGAAGCAAGGGGGTCAGTATTTTCAGAAGCAGGTCAGAAATGGCATGCTTCTCTCATGATCTATTTCCTTTAACTGGTGCACTCCAGGCAAGATTGAAAAATAAGTATTGAGATGTACAAAGGGATCATAGCCTACCTGCTATATTTTACACAGCAACCGATCAGCTTAAAACCTACCGTGGATGATTGAATGTGATAGGTGATACAGGAAGCTGAGAGATACATTATGGGGATAGAAGCTCTGTCAGGGTGCATGTCATGAGCTCTGTTAAATCTAGCTTTCAGGGGGATTCATAGAACTCAGATTAGGGTAAACTAGGTGGATTTTGTAGCATAATTGACTGATAGAAAACATCTCCTCTACAAGGTCACAGTATCTTCCAATATCAATCCTGATCAAGGTTCTGAGGCCTCTGCAAATTTCCCAGCTCTGTTGGTAAAATCTCTTTAATATAATACAGTTAATACTAACCCTTCAAGTCACCATCAATGAATACAAGCACTTAGTGGAAGAAAGAATTAAGGCACATAATAGCAATGTTGTTGTAACATAGCAAAACGTTTTAAATGTGAACAAGTACACCAGACAGTGATAGCACAAGGGCTACACATGGTCAGCAGTTTCTGAAGATCAGCAAGTTCACAAGTCTTTCTAAGCAGGTCGGAGAACGAGACACTTACAAGGTCTTCCCCCTGCCCTCTGATACAACATCTTCTGGCTTGGCACGCATGTACCACTCAACCCAGGAACCATCATATATTGTAGTGTCTTCTTTACCACATAGGAACGCAGCGAGGGCCACGTGGCAGGCAGTGACTCCAGAGCCACATGATGCCACTAGTGGTTGTGACAGGTCAATGCCTTTCTCTTGGAAAATACGTCTGAGTTCTTCAGGAGACTTCTCCTTGCCTTCTTCGGTGAGGAAGCTTGGGAAAGGCATGTTCACTGTACCGGGCATGTGCCCAGGCTCAATTCCTGAAACAAACAAAAATATGAACAGATCAGGAAAACGATTGGTAAATGCTTAAATATCAACCTATGTTTATATAATTGGGAAGCCCATCCCAAGCAGGTCATTCAAAATCGGACAGATTCTCACGCTACAGCTTTTTGCAATCTGGTCAAAATACCGGTCAGGATCTATCTCATGGAGGATCTCACGAGCTCAATCACACAAAACAATACATCATTCTCCAGTACATGGCTTCCCTGGATGGGGTTCATACGGTCACCTGAATACCTCACTCTGAGTGTAACCAACTACCTGACAGGGACTGGAGGTGCTAACCCACCCGATCTAGTCTCCTTCCCCCCCTCTACCCCCCACACCCTTTCAATCTACTTCACCAACCCACCCACTCCCTCCCGCACTCCCCCCCCTACATATCAACCTACTACCTTAACATCTAAGTTGGAATCCCATACATACGTGTGACTCGAACTACGCTTCCCCCTCCACATTACCAGTGGGATATCGCGCCAGCTGTCCCTCATTACCTTCACTCCCCTCCCGAACCCGAGAGAGAGTCCCTACCAATAAGGCCCATGCTATCACCCCACATTAATGGACACCTCAGAAAGACAGCGTGGCCGGCTCACGTAATGACTCCCACCCTCTCTACCTCTACCCCATGATCCAGAATGTTGTTATCTGCCTGTATAGTTAAATAATGTGTTTTGTAAACACTAAGTTGACCTTTTGAAAAACTGTCTAAATAAAGAATTTATAAAAAAAAAAAAAAAACGGTCAGGGATGATGCAACTTCTGGAAACGTGCAGATTATAATGCTGAGATTGTACATTGAGCTGAGCATATGTGGCTCAGTTTACACTTCCGTCATAAAAAGCTAATTATTCCGTTCGTAATAATTCCGTCATAAAAAGCTACTTGCTAGTATTTTCTTTTTATATAAACTGACTTCAAAGAGAACTATGGGGTAAGTGTTTTTCCCCATAGGACATATACTATCCTCCTCCCATGACCCAAAGCTCAGTATATAGCGAGCTATTGCCCGCGATATACTGAGAGCGCCGCAGCCGGGACGGATCCTGAACAATACTGTCTGGATCCACCCAGCTGCGTGAGTGACAGCTGTGCCTACCCCTTATTGTTCGTTCCTCCACTCAACGATGGAGGATCGGAGTGGGAAGGGGGGGGGATCCCTGCAGGGAGCGGTGACTGACAGTCAGGGAGACGATCGGAAAATATGCAAGTGACGGTATGCGTTCGCTCACTTCCCGATCAAAAGAGCCAACCTGTGACAGCTTCTTTGTCACAGGTCAACTCTAACTATGAGGATGAATGGAAATCACTCACCTCATAGTTCTCCTTTAACTATAGCTTTAAAGCCTAAATCCTGGTATTTTTTTTTAAAGAATATCTCCAGAATTTTCAAAAGTTAAGGTGGTAGACCTACTGCAAGAGTTAACTACTTGTTTTGGTCTAGGGAACGGAATAAAATACTCACCTAAACCTTGATCCTGCAGCGGTGACCGTTCACCCTCTCCGGCTTTGGTAAGTCCCTCGGCTTACTCACCTCCAATGCAAGTGAATGGACCTGCATAAGACGTGATGTCAGCATGGCCTAGACTGCCAAAGCTCAGGAGAGAAAAGGCTACAGGGACCAGTCTAGCAGCCAGGCGGGATCGAGGATCAGGTAACTACAGTATATTTTCTTTATTTGCTCCCCTAGATTAAGCCCCACTGCAAGGGTTAACTTTTGAGAATCATTGAGTTCCTCTTTAAGTTTGGATTGTGTGGATAAGAGTTAAAATTTGTATCAGGTTTTCACTTTCGTGTGTGAGATTGTTCTGCTGAGGGGTTAAAGTGAACCTGTTGTTCTGCATTTCCACTAGCAAATGTTAATTTAACTTTGGAAAACACAATGATACAGATTTGAAATGCAGTGCTCTGTGTCAATGTAATGGTGTATATTTCTAGCTCTTTGCCCCCAATCACTACTAGGTAACAGATCAAGCATGTCAAACATCCATGTACTATTGGTTATAACATACAGCCTGAGGTTGGGTCCACAGAGGTCGACAGCAACATACACAGCTTGTTATACAGGTTAGAAAAATCAGCTACTTAAATCCATAGGCAATATGTTACCTGAGTACGGTATGTACCTGGGCTCTGCCATTTTTGTATTGCCTATCAATCATTTAGGTGCCGTTCCAAATCAAGCTTTGCATTCAGGCTCATGCACATGAGCATTTCTATCAGTAAAAAACTAAATGCATTCATGGTACTTTGCATGGACCATATTTTACACAGTGTGCATGCAAGACTTTGTAATCAAGTTTATATACAGTGCAAATGGACTCTATTGAGTCACCTGCATCCTAGCAATGAATAATGCTATTCAGCAACAGCCATCTGTGTGCTAGAGACCAAAGGACACTAGGTAGCAGAAGTGCTGTGCTTGATGGAAACATCCGCAGTACAGGCAGTGTGCAGGGAATTGTGATCAGGTGCTTGTAGTGATAAAATATGGCGGGTGTATAAATATATAAATACCCAAATATATATATATTTATGTGCGCTGTAATAATTGGATCTTCAGAAAATGTCCAAGCAACCTCAGTTCTTCTCCAGAGAGTAGCGTTTAATTGAATCGAAGTAACAGATGAACAGAAACAGTCCGACAGAATAAGAATAAAAATAAAATATCTAGACCTCAGATGACAAAGGTTTCATAAGGACCCACTCCACCCAGCATATATTTCCAATCTATATATGTACCTATGTGCATCTCTTCATGACTCATCTTTTTCTAGCCACTGTAGGCTCTGAATTCATTTACAGTTTAGGGTCATTCACTAACACTGAAAAGACTTCTGATTGGCTGGTCTAATTACCACTTTGATGTTAGATAACTAAACAGGTTTTAACAAAATTCCCTACAGCTGTTCTATTGTGTACAATCAACACTCTGAAAACAGGATGGTCAACTGGTAATAAAAACCTAGTTAGCATAGGCGTGTTTACTCTTTATTTAATTTTTCATAAGCCAATATAAACACAATATTTCCATGTATCACATTTACATCCTAATAATACCTAATAATATCAACACAGTTATCTATATGCAATAACCATCTTAAATTATTGATACCCTTCCCCTCTTTCCCTAAACAAAAACAAAAAAACAAAAAAAAGACAACATCCCCCTCCCATCCCATCTTCCCTTCTCCCCACTCCTCCTACTCTTATTGCTGTATATACCTTATATATTCTGTGGAAGATTGAAACACTATCCAATGTGCCCATATCTGACGGAAAGCCTCCTCTCTACCATACAAGGTAGCCGTCATGTCTTCCATTAATTTAATATCATTTATCCTTGAGAACCACTGAGCCATTGAGGGAGAGTCACTCCTTTTCCATAAGGCTGGTATACACGCCCTTGCAGCATTAATAAGATGCATCAGCAAGGGACCTTTATATATTTCTTTAATGACAAGGTATTTAAATGAAAGAGGTGCGTATCAGTGAACATTCCCAAAAAATATGAAGTAACGTTCCTTCTTGCTGTTTGCATCTCCAACGCTTAGAGGAAGTACCTGGGGACATCAACTGGAGACGAACTGGTGTCATATACCATCTCGCAAAAAACTTATACCCTGCTTCTTGTATTTTGTTTGAAATAGATGCCTTATGTGCCAAGTCCAGGATCCTATTTATTTGCTCTCTGGAAAAAGGATGACCTAGTTCCTGTTCCCATTTTCTAATAAACGAAGGAGAACTCTCCTTCTCTAGGTCTATTAGTTTAGAGTATGCCAAAGATAAAGTATGTCTAAGGGGGTTCTCCGAAAGGCACACCTTTTCAAAAGAGGTCAATTCCCTAAATAAATTAATTTGTTTTGATCTTGAATGAAAATAAGATGTCAATTGAATCAGTTGCCATTCATTCAGAAAATGCCCATATTTTTTTTAATATAAATTCCCTATTGTTACTAAAATGACTAGCTCTAAAAATATTGTCCTCTATCATCTTCAAGAAAGCTCTATCTGTAACGCCGGGGATAAAAATCAGGAGATCCCAACATAGGTGTCATAGGGGAAGGTATTAATGAAAGATCTGTATCACTAAAAAGCTTGCAAGTTATTTTTAACGTCGCTTTAATCAGAGGATGTGCATCTATCTCTAGTGATAGAGGGGGAGTAGCCCACGGTAGACCTTGTAATGGAATATTGGAGCTTAACTGTTCCAATGTAATCCATTGCTTCCTAGATGAAGAATTACACCACTCGGAAATTCTAGCCAGATGAGAGGCTTGGTAATACTTTAAAGAGTCTGGAAATCCAATCCCGCCCCTTAGTTAGTTTCGGAAAACATAGAGTTGACCATTTTATTCTAGCTTTACCTCCTGCCCACATAAACCGCAAAAATAACGATCTCAATGAAGAAGTAAATTGACTTGGGAGAGCTATAGGTAATGTTTGTACATATATCTGGGAAAATATTTATTTTGATATTATTTCTCTCAAACCATGTAAAAGTTTCCTTATTCCATCTATCAAATTCCTTTTTAAAAAGGTATGAAGCAGAGGTTTAAAATTATATTCATATATCTTAGTAAGATCAGCCGTTATATTCGTACCCAGATAACGTATATATGTTTGTGACCATCAAAATCTAAAAGACTCTTAAAGTTTAAGAGTCACAGGGGATAGATAATAGAAATGCCTAATACTCCAGATTTAGCTATATTGATTTTATAATTTAATAATTTCCCATACTATCGGTTTAGTAAGGTAAAACAGAAGGTCATCTGCATATGACCAACACTAGTTTTGAGACCTTGTATATCTGATGAATTACGGATAACCCCTAATAAAGGCTCTATGACCAATGCAAAAATCATAGGGGACAACGGACATCCCTGACGCATACCATTAGTTATCCCAAATGGTTCAGATAAAGTACTAGCAATTTTTACTACTGCCGATGGAGAAGAATATATTGCTGCAATCCATTTCCTCATAGATGGGCCCAGCCCTATATATGACAGTGTTTCCTGGATAAATCCCAACTTACCCTATCGAATGCCTTCTCAGCATCTGCCGAGAACAGCAATAAGTGCGTGCGGGACGCTTGACCTAAATGGATAATATTTAATGTCCGAATCGTATTATCCTTTGCCTATCTAGTTGCTATAAAACCTGTTTGATCTAAATGGATCAATGAGGTCGTAAATAGTGATAACCGATTAGCTAATATTTTTGTAAAAATCTTCAAAATCTAGGTTTAGCAAAGATATCGGCCGATAGCTTGCGCAGGAATGAGGATCCTTACCCTAGTTATGAATTACCGTTATATGCGCTCCCAAGGTATCTCTGGGAATTGATTTACCTTGTAGTATCGAGTTAAAGGCTATTATTAAATATGGGATAAGTATCTCTGGAAAAGTTTTATAATATTTTAAAGTAAAGCCATCTGGGCCCGGCGCCTTACTTATCTGCATGGTTTTTAATACTTTCCCTACTTCTTCATCTGTAATGAAGCCCTCCATCGATAATACATCTTCACTCGAAAGGGATGCAAGTCCTGGTTCTCCAAGATATGTTCTAATTTCTTCCTGTCTCTTCTGTGTCACCCTTGAGGTGTTTAATGGATGTAAATTATAAAAGGTCTTGATAGTACTGTCTAAAAACTTTAGCAATATCTTGTGGTGTATTTACCATCCGCCCCCTAGAGTCTACTATTCGCATTATAGGCAGTCCCCGGGTTACATACAAGATAGGGACTTTAGATTTGTACTTAAAAGTGACATTAAAAAGGATATTTTTCCCCCTCCCCCCAATGTTAATGTTAGCACTTACCTTAACCTCTTGCCGTCCGCCCGTAGTAAAAAAACGGACGGACGGCACTGCTGCATTGGCGGGTTGCCATCTCCCGGCGGCAATTTTTTTCTGCTCGCGCGCGCCCCCTAGCGGGCACGCACGGGCAGAAAAGTCCCGACCATTGCACACACCCGTTACCGGGTGTTTCACATATAGGCGATCAGTGGCTCCATAGCCCGCCGATCGCCTATATTTGCTCGTTCGCGTCCGCCCCCCGCGCCTTGAATCCCGGGATCCGCTGCCCCATCTTGAATCCCGGGACCGGCTCGGAGGGCGTCAGGAGGAGGAGGACGGGAGATCAGCTCCTTGCTGATCTCCGTCCGGGCTGTGAATGCAGAAGTGATGTGTATTACATCACTTCCGCATTCACTGATGAAGCAGATCTCTGCTTCATCAGCTTCTTTTGGGGTCCACAGGTGACATTAGGGGTCCTAGAGACCCCTAATGTCTCCATAAAGAGGATCTGTCAGTGTGCCTTTGCTATTATATAGGGGGATTGTTATCCCCCATATAATAGCAATAACAATAAGTGCAAAAAAAATAAATATAAATAAAAAAAATAAAAGTAACATATAAAAAAGTAAAATAAAATACAAGTCACATATAAAAAAGAAGGGGACAAACATTACAATTGCGCTACACTGCTTGTATGGTAACAGGCATCGCTGCCTGTTTTTAAATATCGGCCATTTCCCGCTCACGTGTCTGAGCGGATGTCAAAAGACGCCCGCTCAGATCTAGAGACGCCCGCTCAGATCTAGAGACCTCTCGGCCGGCCGTTTTTTTTACAACGGCCGGCCCTGTGGTGGTTAAAGTAAATTTAAAACTACCGTAATGCAGTGGCAGACATGGTCAGCAAAGAGTGCCATACATTTACTGCTAAAGTAAAAACATTTATTCACTTTAGACAGATAGACGCAGGTGAAGATTAGCCATTGTGATACCCTGAAATCTCTCACAGCCCATAATATGCAACTTGGGAACATGCGGTTTACTTCCTGCTTAAAATCGCATCAATAATATAGTAGATCTGCAAGATGATGCCTGCAAAAACAACTGTTAACAATAAACACTACTCCACCTCACCTTCCCGGGGCTCAGGCTCGAGTCCTCGGAACCTTCCCTCCACTCTGGCATCCACCATTTGAATTGTCCTCTTCTCAACATTCTCTACCATTTCTTCATGTCCTACAACTTGAGAAGTGTTCAATTTGGCTTGAAATTCTACTGGCTCAGGGCGAGGTTCCTTCCCTGAATTTACTGAATGTCCTTCCCTTAACCAAGCTTTCAAACCACCATCCAACACGGACACGTGTGGATGCCCAAAAACCCTAAACATCCACCACAGCCGGGGAGCACTGAATGAGCCAAAATCGCTGGTGTCGTACACCACAACGTGACTGCTGTTGGAGACTCCAAGTTTCCCAGCATATTCAGCAAACTGGTCTGCACTTGGAAGCATGTGGTCATACGGGGAGGTGCGGTCACTGCAGACATCTATGTCGAAGAAATAGGCTCCAGGAATGTGGCGCTCCTTGTACTCGCGCCAGGGGTCACGTCCAGTTTTGGGGAGATGCCATGATGCATCAAGTACTCGAAGATTTGATCTGACAGCTGAACCAGCCCGTAAAGTGTCCCAAAGCCAACGAGTGGAAACCAAAGCTCGGGGCAGAAGTTGTTGTGCCATGATGAAGGTCCTAAAAGGAAATGAATATAAGAACAAAATAAATAAGTGAATGCTAAACCATGTAACAGACAGACAAAAAGGACAAATCTCATCAAAATGCAGTACGAGCCCAAGTCCAAAGTTTTGAATAAAGTAAGGAAGAGGTAGAACCCCTTTTAACCGTGTATTTCTGTCAGTGATCATTTAGAAGAGATATCTCACTGATCGCTGAGTGTTTGCACTCACTCTCCTCTTTGACACGCTGTCACAGGAAGCTGAGCGAGCGGTGCAAGGAGGAGAGCTCAGCCTCCTGTGACAGCCCGGCCTGTCTCCGCCCACACACCGCTCTGCCGGACTGTGATAGGAGGCTGAGCGGTGTGGGAGGAGAGACGCCGGCCGCTCACAGCCCTCTCTTCCCGCAGTGCTCGGCTGCCTGTCACAGTTTCCCTCCTCCCCTCTGGGACATAGAGCAGCGCCCAGCGGGGAGGAAAGAAAGCACAGATGTGCCAATGTATTAGCACAAAAATGGCACTTTCGGCATTTAGCCAAAAGTGCCATTTTCAGCCGATATGTTTCGGCGGCCGATATATCGGTGCATCCCTAATTAGAACCTCTGTCATAATTTTACTTCAAGCTGCATCCCTATTAAGATTTTTACTAACTATCTGTCCAGGTGACGGGTGTCTGAAATGTTTTAAATGTCTGACTTTTTATTCTGCCAAAGGTTCTAATCCCTCCTGATTATATCCAAAATGAAAGAGAAAAGGTTTGGACTGGAGTTAGGCATTTCAGTAAAGTTCCTCTTCAGGGACCAGAAAAGGATGGCTGCATCTGCAGCTCATGGCTCTTGTTTTCCAATGGAACCATGCCTGAATGTTGGGAGTCATTCCTGAGGGCCAGCTACCCTGTGGGAATCAGACTTACTCTGAATTGGACTCAGGAACCAAGGACCAAGCAAACACCGCCACTTTAGTTTTTAATCTTGTTTATTTCACAGTTATTGTCTGCTTTGTATTTTTTTATCTGTAAATATTTTTCCTGCACTGTTTTCGTCCTCTCTTTACATTTAAAAATTGTCAAGGTGAATCTGAGTGTGCTAAATAAGAAGTTAGAGAATCCCTGTCTCTAAAGTAAGCTACCATATTTTAAACACTACTTTATTCCTGTTAGGCATGGCAGCTATTGTCCTAGATATTTTTTTAAGGGTTTGTTCACACCGAAAGCGTCTGCGAGTCAGAGCTGTAGCTGCTGGAACGCACCGCGATCACTGAGAAATTTCACCCCCCCTTTCACACACCCCCCGACCGCAGTGCGATCAAACGCGTGGCAAAACTTAGAGTAAGTCCTATTTTTTGCATTTGCAGTGGAACGGAACGCTGGCAAAGTTTTGCCACGCGCTCGATTGTACTGCGGGCGGGGGATGGCGTGGAAGCGGTGCCATTGAATACAATGCACCGCCACACCCCTTCCCCAAAACGCGGGGGGAAGTTTATCAGCGAACGCGGTGCGTTCCAGCAGGTGCCGCTCTGGAACGCACACGCTTTCGATGTGAACAAGGCCTTAAGGTCAGGTGTTTGTTAGTGTAAATGGTTAACTGTAGAGTTAATCACCCAGCAACAATGAGTCCTAGTCTGTTGGTGCTCAGATTGTTGTGCCGCAAACCGGAAAATCTCTGTACAAGTTGAGGCTGAGAGTGCAATCATCACCAGGTATGCTTTTCTTCATATTTCTCTACAGGATGCAAAGCTTTCAGGTATGCAATATTGTGTGCAGATTCATTCAAAAAGTAACTTAAAATTTGACAAAATGTTTCACAAAACCGCAAAAGAACCGAAGCAGCAGTTTTGGAAGAGATTTGATGGAATAAGGTTATTAGTGCACTACATTAATTTTCATGTTTTTGGTTAACATAGATTTTGCATACTCCGCTAGAAGAACCAACATGACATATTTACAGCTTTCCACAAAATTCCTTATTATGCGTCGTTACATGACAATTAGTTCATTTGTGTACAAAGTGCAGAAATGGCAGACTTGCACATTCAGGCAATGTTTAAAGAGAGTTAACATTGTGCACTCGGAGAAGTTGCATGAAGAAGTAATATCCTAGCAATAAAGTAATTTTCTTTGCCAACTGAGTTCAAGGTTCACTATAAAAGAGCAAAGAATACAGGTCTGTGGACTTTATCAGAGTCTGTGTGCTATCTCGGCTACAGCAAATAAACAGAGCTGGCAGAATGGAATGGACAAATTTACTAAATACTCGACATGAATTGATGAGGGAGTTACTAAAAGGTATCGGGAGACTAGCCAGGGATGAGACTCCATGGTGGCATATTAACTACAACAGACACAATTAATGGACCTCCAGTGCCAGTCAACAACGTCCACTGACCAAGAAAAATTATAAAGTTTCCAAGTTTGATTAAAGCTCTACGTTTTGTGGGAAGAACTCCTCAGTGTCTGCTGTTTGTCCAGCAATTATCAACTACATATAAGCAGTTCTATATACATCATAATATTAGGCAATGGCAGGCCAGTTGAGTTAAGAACATGAGGGTTGGGTCTGTCATAAGAGACACATGGAGGCTGCCTGCTTGGTGTGTTGACCCACTGGTTTCAATACCTTCTCAACCACTGACCCATTACAAGAATGCAGATCAGGAAATTCAAAAGTCCTTGCCTTCTGGTTAGGGACTCATGACAGCCATGCAAACTGGTACTCACTCTTTCTCCTGACACGTTTCTCCCAATTAGGGGCATAATTGCCTCTACAGTTTAGCTCCTAATGGGTGAAATCTGTTCAATGATGAGGAAGAGTCTGGGGGTAAGGCAGGCATGATGCTTGATGTATGATACAGCCCAATAAAGTAGATTGAGAAAAAAAAAAAAACAACATTCAATGGACATGAAGTTTTGTTGCACAATTTGTTTGTATCCTGGAGAACAGACAGACCTGGTCTGGTAGAAGATAGCCAGATGTTCTCCTGGAACACCTTTCTACAAACCTCACTGCAGTGGACTGGGCAGGACCAGGCTTGGTTTACAACCTGCAGCATTCCAATGGTTAGCTACATCACACATGTATGCAAAGCCCAAACTTTCTGAATAGAGTAAGTAAAGACTAGAGTCCCTGTCAAGTTTAGATTGCTCAATACAAATATTTCAGATACAACCTATATTCTAGTAGGCTCAGGGGACATTTAAATAGACTAACCAATGGGGATGCACTGATCGGCCGCCGAAACGTATCGGCCGAAAATGGCCCTTAGTTAAAATGGCCACTGTCAGAACACTAGGGAAGAAAAGAAAAATAGGTATAGAAAACAAAAGTATGCAACAAATAAAAAGCCAACAATTAGCTATAAGTATCTGTTTTTCGATTGTCATCCCATAATATTTCTAAAGGTGTATTTGCACTTATTTTGAATATACGGGTAAAGTTCCTCCTTACAGTGCATGCATAGCCAAAACCTTTTTTATGCAGTTTCAAATATGGTAAGACAGCATTTATTTCCCTCGTCATTTTATTTTTTGATGTCTCTGTCCAATTAGGGAGATTTTCCTTGACTTCCAGTCATGGCAACACAATAGGAAATGGGAGGATATCTCTACAAGTGAATACCTCTGTCAGACATTGTCAGGTGTCCCCATTGAAAGATTTTTTTTCCCCAAAACTTGTTTCTGATGACCATTATAAAATCTTATTTCCATCATTTTTTTTTGTTTTGTCTCAGTGCTGGTAATTTCTAGGAAAAATAGATACAGTTAAAGTTGCTAGGCTGCTGACAAGCCTGGAGAACTCCTATCACTAATTCAATACAACGTTCAAGCTGCAGAGATTGTAGTCTACGTATACGAGTAGACTCATTAATCCCTGATGGAGATGTGTTTTGGAGCCCTGAGATGCATTGGTTAGAGCAACACTGTAAACATGACAGGATGCACACACTTCCCTGGACAGGCCACAGCAGGAAACACAAATAGTCTGTATTTATTGTGGCAGTGTGTAGTGTTACTATTGGGGATTCACCGAGACTAGCAACTTGTGGTATCAGGAAGCCGGGCGGCAAGTCATTACACGCTGCCCGGAAAGTCAGCTCCAAGCACCCTGGTGATGAGGGAGCATGGAGCAGGCTGTGTCAGTCACAGTTTTAAGTGAACTCGGGTGAAATGGGTTCACACCAAGCCCCAGCTCATTACTACTAGTGACCACGGTCTCTGAAACTGGAGGTGAGGGGGAATCTTCTAATGGGCACACTTGTTCCAGTGACAACTGTTTCAGAGGGAATATCTGGAGCTTTGTAGGTTTACTCTTACTTTGTGCTACATTTTGAATGCAGGAAGTGAAGGAAAATCTAGATGGGACAAACAAACAAAAAGAAAACCCCTTCACTACTCTGGCATAACCATAATGTGTGCAGTGCAAACAGACCACCACACAGACCCACATGTGCACTCAACTCAATACACAGAGGGCCAAGGGCCAAGATACAGTTGTCCTGAGTGCAGTTTTTTCATGCGGGGGATGGTGGGGTGAGCTGTGCCCTCCTTTTCACAAAAGTCTGCAAAACTTTTGAATGTGTTTAATACACTGGCACAGGATGTTTGCTACTTTACTAGTCACTTCTAAGACTTTTTTGAAAGATAATTACCTTTGACTCAAACAAGCAGTTGATAAGAAGATTGAATTTGAATATGTTTTTCACAGAAGTATTGTTCACCGTTATATTTGTTGGGTGACAGCGCCGCTTCACATATTTGAATGAAAACTTTTGTAGAGTGGCAGCAGGGTGCCAAGTGCTGGAATGTGCTCTGCGTGCCAGCCCTGGTACTGAAAGAATACTGTACTGCCAAGCAGTGGTGTGTGTGTGGGGGTGGGGAAGGTTAGCAGTGGTGTGTGTGGGGGTGGGAAGCACTGCAACTGACCAGCAATGGAGGGAGTGTAAGGTGTACAATGGAGACCGGGGGGGGGCGTGTTGTTAATAGTAGGGATGCACCAATACTTTTCCTCAAGTACATGCCGATACCACAAAAAAAAAATGAAAAAAAAAAAATCTACAAATCCCACCAATACAACAATGCAGAATGCAGCTACATACTCTGTGTTGCTCCCCAGGGCTGTGTGCGTCGTCTCATCAGGATGTGCGGCGTATCACCAGGGCTGTGTGCGGCCAGAAGGAGGAGGCAGAGGAGGTGTGTGGCCCGGACCTGCACTGTAAAAGACAGCCGCCCGAGGTCCCCAGCAAGCACAGGAACTCAGGCAGCCGCTTCCATTTAAAAACTTAAATGCTGGGGTGCACAAGTACTTGTGATAATGCCCAGTATCGGCACTGGAGGTG